CGCTTTCGCCGGGGATTGCGGAGTTGGCCTTCTATAAAATTTAACGGGCCCTCTTTTTTCGTAACTCGCTTTTCCCCTTTTCTAGTCATCATCGATGGTCGTGCGGATCTTAATCCCCACTGGGTGGGGCCCAAAACAACGTGCGCTTCGCTTTTACTTTTATTCCAGCCCTTTATTATTATTTGCCTACTTAGACCCGGCCGGGATTGTACTCGCTTTCGCCAGCCTCGATCCCTTCGAATCCAATTTGGCCTCTAAGCCTTCGACATTTTCGCTGTGGTCGTTTATTGATTTTGCCCCAAACAAATGGAAGCCGAAGGATTGGGGGAACGGAAAATACGATATGTGGTTGTCATTATCCATTGGAGCGGCTCGCATCATGACCGTTTAATAAGCATTTTAAAAACATTTCGCTTTCGGGGTTGCGATTTATAGATAGCTCTGCGGCTCGAGACCCTCGTCTCAAAGGGACCGCACCACCCACTTTGCTCCCCATTCTGGGATATCGCAGCACTTTGCTGAGCGCGGCAAAAGAGGAGCTGCACATTGAAATTTTAATGCAACGCCCTTCTGCAGAGCCCTCTTTTCTCCCCGGAACGGATGCACATACATAAATTCCGCTCGTGTGGTTTTCAAAATGCATTACGGCCAACAGCTTCCTCCGGCTCGCCCGCTGACCTCCCTCTTTGAACCCGGCTAAGCTAATCAAGGGCTGAGCCAACAATTTACTCAGCCAGGGCTCCTCCTCCTCCTGCCCCCATCCTCCTTCCCTTGGTGTTTCCATCATATCAGGCACGGCTTTTGCTGTTTTAGTGCGAAGCTCCTTGCATCCTTTCGCTAGGTTTCGTATGGTTTGGTTCGGTTTCGTCTGTCCGCCGCCTCATGCATAAACCAATTTGCTTTGCATAAGCAGTGAGTGGAGCTGGAGTGGTTCGGTGGAGGGGAACGACAGGGCTTCCCCCAGTGAGACCTCTCCAATTGCAGCAATTTTCCAACTTCACTTTATGCATTTATGCGCCTTTGTCTGCGGCCGCTGCTCTTCTTCTTCTTCTTTTTTCGGGCGGGCAGGGCTCCCTGTTCTTGTTGCCGCCGCTCACCGTCTGCGGCGTCGGGTCATTAATTTGGAAGCGAACACCTCCTGAACCACCTCCTCCGTCCGGCCAATCAGCCGGAGCGACCGGCTCGAGTGGTCAGCAGCCCCGTCCAGGTTCTTGGCGCCATTTCCCCAGCGAGAAATTAGGAAATTGCATTTGCCGGCGAAACGAGCCGGCAGCGACGTAGCGGAATTTACGCGATGCACTCCGCCGCGGACGGGCTCTTTCCAACCCGGACACTCACTCGGACCCGGACCCGCCGAAGATTTCCTATCGGCATCGACCCCGCTGCCTGCGGAGCGGCCTTCGACAGCTGGAAATTGGCAAAATGTAAATTCTCATATGCCCAGCAGGCGGGGTCGGCCAATAAATTTATTACCGAGAGGCGAGGGCTCCAAGCCCCCGTACCCAGACCCCTAAACCACTGAACGCCGAGCACCCAATCACCATCATCATCGCCGGCGGGATGATCACGACGGCGGCCGTCCGGAGCCTAAAATATTCATAATCAACGCGGCATTAGCCATGGCTGCGTTTTCATTTCGTTTTTGGCTCCTGCGGAGCTCATCAATGAATCAGCATCGGAGCTTGTGGCGTAATTGGGGCAATGTTTTAGTTATGAGCTGGCTCGCAGTGCGGGTGCCTTCAGCCGGGTAATGGGGCCACTGACAGCCAGCTCCGATTTTCAATCGATACATCTTAAATGGCATCCCGGACCCGGGCAATGCGCTCCGCCTTGCGCCGGCTGCATCCGGCTTTCCTGCTGCGTCTGCGAACTCCGGACGGCGACAATAACAACCATTAAGTGCGGCCAACACGTAACCGGGCAATAAACAAGCGTGACAAATGATGCTGCTAAATGAAAGTTGATTGCCAGTTGACGGCCACACCTGTTTCGACTGCTGTCCAGGGCCCACTCCGCCAGGACATCCCCTTTGCCGTGCAGGACAGCAGTCAAAATTGTCAGAGACATCGAAAAAGAAAGCACGGACCGGGAAATGGTCGTGAAAAATCCCATCGCGACGGAAGTTAGCATCGCCGCAGTCCGGCTCCTGGCGCTCAGTTTCCCAATCCTGGTCCTCTGCCAGCCCATTAATAATGATGGCGGCGACAAAATGGCCGCCCTTCCCCCGCATCCCTCCACCGTCCTCGTCCTTTGATGTCACGTGTCGAAGCTGCGTGCGATTTCTACGACAGGACATCGAATCGGAAGCGAACCGAGCACAAAGGTGACGCCGAGCTCAACCGGTTTGTTTTCGCCGCCTTGGCTGACAATTTCCCGCTGTTTTCCATTCAAATTGTCGCGCTGTCACATCAGTTTCGCCGGACGATAAACGATGGAGCATGTAGGTTCACAGCACGTCCCTTAAATTAATTCGAACAAATTGAAAAGAGTGCAGCAGCGAGTCCTGCATCCCGTCGCCTTGCCATCTGATTTCCCCAAGACAATCTGTCGCAACTTTCAGATTAAAGCAGCGCCGGTTAAGCGAGTTTAAGCCAGACTCCTCCTCGAAACCCACTCCAATCAGAACCAACCGGGAACCCACCTCGAGTATTCCGGTATTCCGAACTCCCCCAGGTTGTCAGGGACAGAACGAGCAGGTCTGGTCTGCTCTGCCAACCGCTCCCTAGTCGGGCGAGCAAATTACTAATTGGCAAGCAAAACGCTCCGGTTGTTGTCCAACAAACAACAACAACAACAACAATAACAACAACAACACGGAGGACACCGACAGAGTCGTCTGGCTGGGAATACGAGGGATGCCGTCCGAAGGTGGCACACATGGCACACAAGCTTCATTAACTCAAACTATGCTGCATTTTGCGATTATCAAATTGTCTTTACACAACGAAGCCAACGATTGGAGCCTGGCCGAGAAGGAGGGCTCCGACGACTGCTGACGGCAAATAGCAAGTGGAGGAGCTGGCCAGGACCAGGCGACCAGAAGGACGAGGGTGAGGAGCAACCGAGGACGGCAACCGCAGAAATATGAAGCGTATGCAGCAACGGCAGCAGGACGAGTGGAAATCCCCGAAATGCTTTGGGATATTTTGTTGGGCAAACAACCATGCAAAAATGCAGCAGGCGGTGCGAGAACGATATCCTCGTTCCGGCAACGATGGACATCTGATGGACGAGTGCTCCGGGCTGTTCTGCTCTGCTCTGGTCTGGAATGGTATGGCAAGGTGGCGGGGCGGATAATGCGGAGTGACAAACTGCCGGACGGAAGGGAACGGTTTCCGGACAGCGACTGGCCGCATTATCACACCTGTCGGTGATTAGAGACTCAACTCGACGACAGCGGAGCTCTTGAATTTCGCTTGCTGTTGCGATTGATAGAAAGTCCGAGCTGATCAGGGGCTTGATTGATGGCAGAGGTCAGGACGTGGGTGCTAAGCTGATACAGGATTACCAGATAGCCTGACCACTCGCAATTAGCCTGTCGCTCGGAAAACTTCCTCCGGTTACCGCTGCTTAATGAACTCCAGGAAGTTCGCAGTTCCAAGTTTCGTCGTTCGTTCGATAAACAAAACAAAACTTTCGCCATTGCTGGATGTGGGTCAATGCTTCGGATTGCAGCTAAACTTTCCCATCGGTATGCAAATATTTTCCGTTTAATTAACGCATGAAAACTAGCTGGCGACCTGGAAGGGTGGGCGGGAAGGGGAGGGAAGGGGAGAGACTAGTGTGGCAGGAACTGTCGCTGCAGATTAAAATAAATTGCATAGAAATTTATCACTCCGATCTGGAGGCACACAACAGCAGCAGCAGAGAAAAGGCAGAAACAACAACTTGACACAGTTGCAAAAGTTGGCAAGAAAGTGGAGCTTTGGGTCAGTTTTCCTGTGTATGCCAGCCATAATTAATCATAATAAAAGCCGGGCGAGGCGGGGGAACGGGGGCCAGAATTAGTCCGGGGGGCGAGGAAAAAATAACCACAATTTCCCAGCATTTTCTTTGCCATTAAAATAAATGAGCCAATTAAGCTGCGGCCCAGGCGCCCTTGCCCCACCTGATGAGGGTTCTGCGGAGCGGGCTGGGTCGCAAATCCGACCTCGGATTTGGCCGGGTCCAGGTGTTGCGCATCATCATCAGCCTCGGCGATTCGCAGGAGACTGTCCCGGGTAAAGGACCCCTCCTCTACCAATTTATGCTCTGGCTGCTCAAATTTATTTACGAGTATTGCGCTCCCCAATTCTACCGTGATTGGACGGGGGGTTTTCGGGGGCGACTGACTTGTTGACTGGGCTTAAGTCGTTCGAAAATTCGCTGCGAATGAAACTTAAGGAGCCGCTAATTCCTGGCGCGTTGTCAACAAAGCAATCGCTTCAAACGAAATTCAGCGCACTTTGCTGTTTTTCTACTTTTTAAGATGTACGTTTGAACTGCGTCAGACGATGGAGATAGTTGCGAACTCATTGAAATCTGTCTGGAATTTTTCTGGAAATCTATTTCTGTCCGCTGCTTATTAAGCATAATAAATCCCCCATAAAAATCCCCGGAAACACACGCATATACCTAACGTGTTGGTCTTTATTGCGTGGCTAAATACATTTGTACATTTAATAGCCGCCTCCAAAGCCCAGTGCCAGTCACTCCATCCAAAACATTGACATAGCATTAGCGTTTTTAACTGGCAAGATAGCACTTGGGGTATAAAAAGCAAAAACAAAATGTTGGGAAGGTTGCTCACAGAATTATGGAATGCAACCGCAAGCTATAAAAACCAAGCTTGTTGTGAATGCAATGCTTAGCTAATCACTGTTTAATGTTACTTAACTGAGGCGATCAACCGGCCGATCGATCTCGATGATTCCAGTTTCCGCCGATTCGGCACGAGATGCGCATTAATTGATCAGGCTCTCCAACTCCCCTTTTCCCCCGCCCCGAGAACAAGTGGCGAGTTTCTCTTGTCACTAACTTTATTGTAAACCTTAAACTAGCAGTTGCTGAATCGCAACCCCAACTAATTAGACCAGACACAAGTCCTGCGGCACCTGCTGGCCCCCCCTTAACTGCGGCTCCCTCCACCGCCGCATCCTGCCGCCTTGCACCCTCTTCCTGTGCGGGTGAATCCTGGCACCTCCCCTGCTGCTCCTCGAACGCGGCTGCCCGGACGACCGCAAAGGCGGTCCCGGCACCCAGCAGCGAGCCGGCCGCAACATCCGACCAGTGGTGCTTGTAGTCCATGACCCGGCTGAGGGCCACGAACCAGGCCACCGCCACGCAGGCCAGCTGGAGCACGGGGCCCAGCAGGGATCCCCCCAGGGGGGAGCGGCGCCGGCGGAGGTGCAGGGCCACGAAGACCAGGCCGTAGAAGGCCATGGCGGAGTGGCCGCTGGGGAAGGACACGTTCACGTCCCGGATCATCTCCTCGCTGGCCAGCGAGAGATCGGGCCGGCACTCGTAGTCCGTGTGGTACTCGAGCTCTCCGCTGTGCTGCACGTCGGAGCAGCTGCTTCCGTCCGGGAAGTGCGGCCTGCACACCGCGAAGAAGTGGGGCCTAAGGCGCCCGATTGTGTGCTTGCCAATCCCCTTGAGCAGATCGTTGAACACGTAGCCGTAGAGGAACCAGCGCACCGTGTTGTACGCCGGCCAAAGGCGCCCCCAGTCCTCCATAATCCTGTGGCGGTGGATGAGGCACTCGAAGACGACCAGGAAGAGCAGCGGGAGGTGCAGTCCCAGCCAGTGCAGCAAGGCGGGACTGACTGTGTTCTCGTGGTACGGGTACATCAGGGACTCGTCGTCGCAGAAGAAGCCGCGCTTGGTGGGCGGCGGCCAGAAGTGGGAGAAGTTCTCCACCAGGACGAGGAGGATGCCCAGGAGGAGCAGGTCCACCAGCAGGCGAACGGGCAGCTGGAAGCGGAGACTGAAGCTCATCTTGGCTGATCGGATCCGGGCTCGTGCGATCGACTCGGCGGCTCCGTAGTCACTGATCTGCGAAACGGGTCGAAGTCGGACAACAGCCCCCAGCAGGCCGAGAATCCGGGCTCAGGTCCACTCGTCTCGGATTATTAATAAACAATTCGCATTGTCGTCGCTGATTGTATTATTAGACTTCACTCGAAAAGGGGCTCGGGCTGACGTCGAGTTGCCTTCCGTTGGATGTGCTGGAAAGCCCGGGTCGAAAAACAATGTGCTCGCCATCGATCCGCCGGCTTATCAGCTTGTTGCCACGCACGTGCTGTCGCCCAATCGACGTATCGCCCAATCGCCACCTTGCCGCGTCTGTCCCTGAGATGGTCGGCCGGAAAACACGCGAGTTTTGTTTACCGCGGATCCCGCATCTCATGCTTGCGTAGACCCCAACCTCGGGAGCCCCGAGAAAGCCCCAAAAGCTCTGGAAAGCTCGATCCACAGCTCTCCGGGGCTCTCTCTTTAAATGTTATTAATTGGTGGGTCAGGGGTCCATTCAAATCAGATTAACATCGACTGATTCACGAGCTAGGGTCACCAATTGAAAGAGTCTTAGGAGGGCTTCTCACGATCCCCGTAGAAGAGTTTCGGGGGAAGAGGGCCTCTTGGCTCTTTAATAATGCCTCGAATCTGTGACGCAGCACAAAATCATCAAAACTTTGGTGAATCATGGCCAACACACATTCCATCAGATACCAGCAGCCAGGGCAGCCAGGTATGACCACACTGTGCAAAAATCGGGGCACTTGAGCACTTATTATCTTAAAACGCACAGCTATGCTCATGAAAATAGTAATGGCCCTTCCTTTATAATTACACGTTACTTGTTTTTGCTTTGAGTGGTTCATTCCAATTAGGTAATTACAAATAGAAAACCCCAAACCATTTACTCCCTTTAATCTATGCGGTTTATTTTTAAAATAGTCATAGTTTGTCATACTCTGTTTATGAAAATAGGGTCCATGAGTAACTCAGGAGTAATTTTATGCGGGAAGTCTGCGGTAAGTAATTTGTTTATAAATAACTTAGTTCATTGTAATTGTTTGTAATTTGAGTAATAGGGAACATTTTTATAGTCGTGAGCAAATACATTACAATAATTAATTATTTTATATTTTGATTTGGAATACTGGATCCAATTTATTTTGTAACTTTTTTTAAAGTGTTGGTCGAAGTATTTAAAAGAAGTTATGCGCAGAATATTCAAAAATGTAACCTTAATGATGCTGAGTTCAATAATTATAGTTCATATGCACAAAATAATCATAAAGCGCCTAAAAAAACGCTTTCATAACCTAAAAAATATTTGTAAAGCTTAAATTGACAGCTGAGAACTGCATTTTTTTTTAAATTTTATCAAGCTTACAAACAGCATTTTTGCACGAACCGTTTTTTGAAAAATCATAATCCGTCGATATTAGAAACGAAAGCGAAATCTTCAAAAGCCAAAGAGCGCAACTATTTGCGTGAATCAAACTGCGGGCGATCGACGAGCTGACATTGAAATGTGAAATTTCAGCAAATAAGGAGGAGTAAGTACAGATAAGCGGGTACGCAAACAATGGATTGGGTTAAAACAACACAGCGGAACATGGGCTACATTCGAAGTACTTATTTATTTGGTGGTACCAATTAGAATACACAAGTATTAATACGATGGCTTACACGTAGGATGGAAATGCGGATACAGACTCAAATGAACTATACAGATGGGTGGCTCTAACTCTAATGCTCTATAACGAGGTGTAGATACTACAGATTCGACTTCTGTTGTAATTCTCCATACTTTATTGCTACCTTTGGAATGTTTGGAATTTACATGGCTACCGGAGCACCTGCACCCGTCACACCTTCGTGCAGTACTGGTCCCCGTTGAAGCTGCTGTTCGCGGAGTACGGAGGCGGGGTGCTGGGACACACCTCCTCCTGCAGCGTGGCAGCGGTGTTCTCCCTCCGCAGTCCCCCCTTCAGGATGCCGTCCCGGTCCTCGAACATCCTCGCTATGAAGCAGGCGGTGATCAGAGCCCCAGCCACGCCCAGGAGCGATCCGGAGAGGACGTCGGACCAGTGGTGCCAGTGGTCCATCACGCGGCTGAGGGCCGTGTACCAGGCCACCATCACCAGGGCGAACTGCAGGAAGTGGCGGCTGAGTCTGGATCCCCGCCAGGTGAGCTTCCGCTGCAGGTAGAGCGCCACGTAGACCATCGCGTAGAAGGCCAGGCTGGAGTGGCCGCTGGGGAAGCTGAGCCGCGCCTGGCGCACGTCCTCCAAGGTGAAGCCCTCGCCGGCGCACTCGTAGTCCTCCACGTAGCGGTGCAGGTTGGCCGCGTCCGAGCAGAGGCTCCCGTCCGTCAGCTGCGGCTGGCAGACGGCCAGGAAGTGGGGTCGCAGGCGCCCGATGGTGTACTTGCCCACCTCGGTGGCATCGAAGGTGAGCAGCATTCCGAAGAGGAAGTAGCTGCACTGGCGGCCCAGCTCCACGTACCAGGTGGAGACGCGCCAGCCGAGCAGGTCCACGGTGGCCGAGATCTCGCCGGCCCTCAGGTGGCCCACGTACTCCACCACCACGAGCACGAGCGCCGGGAGGAGGCCCACAATCAGGCCAAGGGCCACCGGGGTGATCGTGTTGTCCCGGAACGGGTAGCTGATGCTCTCGTCGTCGCAGAAGAAGCCCCGCCGCACGGGGTCCACGGCGAACTCGTAGACGCAGATGGGGATGATCAGCACCACCACCACCACCAGCTCCACCAGCAGGCGGCGGGTCAGCCGGCGGTCCGCCGCCCTCTGCAACTCCGCTCCGGCGGAGTTGGCGGATTCCGTGGCGGAGACGGAGACGGGCACCGAAACGGTTACGGACTGATCTTCGGTCGCGTCGCGCATCTCGCTGGCTTAATTAGTTGATATTCCAAATGGCCTTTATGTGGCTGGTAATTAGCTTTCGTTCGTTTGTTTTGTTTTACCCGACGCGGTGATCGTTGCTCCGGGTTCGTTGTCAGATTCTGACTGAGCCGGCGTCGCTTGGGTAACGTTCTTTTAATTTAACGCTCATTTGGTGGGCGGCCCTCTCCCGGCTTTGTTTTTCACTCCACAACGCTCTCCGCAGCCAACCTATTTGCGAGCTCTCTGCGTCAGCAATTTGTTTATGGCCTATTTGGTGGCAGTTGGCCGTCTGCTGGGATCCAAGTGTTGTTGCGGCTAGATTAGACAAGAGCCAGAAACCACTGAAACAAAAAAAGAATTTAAAATCGGTTAATAGATACCCAAGCGGAGCCAAATATAATATGTTAGAATAGTTTTTGCTAAACCCCATAAGTATTTTCCGCAGTGTACCTGCTCAAACAAGCTCAAGATCACTTTGATAAGATAAATTAGAGTGTCGCAAAGCCCAGCGGGATTCTCAAGTGCCAAATCATTGCAATTCAGCGCTTTTGCGATCGTTCAGCGCTCTGATTAGGCAATTTGGGCTGTTGTCTTTCCGAGATCTGCAGGGGGATTTGTTCCGCATTGATAAGCGATTGAGGAGCGGTGAGGCATCGATAAAGAGGGGTCAACAAGCGGGCGGTGGGGGTGACTCACAGGTTACTCACTGAGAGGCGCTCTTTTGTTCTAGGGCAGCCAGCCGGCGAATAGGCGCGACTCCTCCAGATTTGCATTATCGGAGCCGCGAACGCAGCTCCGCTTGATGGAGCGCCGCACTCGAAGTCCGCTAATCTCCCGCCCAAGAATGGCCCCATTGTGGACCCGCTGATCTGCTTGACATCCCCGTCGGGATTGGGGATTGGGAAGTGGGAAGTGGGGAGTGGGAGTTTCTTCCGAACATGTGCAGAGTTTAACTGTCAATTACATTAAAAAATGGAAAGCAGCCAAAGCGGGCACAGCTCCCCATTAACGTCCCCGAATCGCCGCCTTTGCCGTCTTGGCTCCGCCACACTCACTCGCTTTGATATTCGTATTCACAGACGCACTCATAGTGGGACGTCAAATGGCGCGACCTTTAATTAAATGAATAAGCGACATTTGATTGAATTAAGGCGGCCTGACTCTGTTTCTCTCTCTCTTTCTATCTCTGACTCTGTCCCTCCCTCCCAGCTTTAACTACCCTGCTGAGCAGGAATTGTGCATATTTGAACTATGTATTCACTGGACTTGGTGGAGCAGTCGTATTCAAAAAATAAAAGGGCTCCCTGGCGCTTGTTCGCTGCCGTTTTTTAATGCTTCTGTATTATTTTAAGTGCCCTGTGAACTTTGAGCTTAGAAGAAGAGCAACAGGTCAACTTTTAATGAATCCCTCACGATCAGTTCATGATTTTACGTCAACACGTTTCAGTATTTATTTTGGTTATGGCGCACTTAACCGAGCTATTGAATAATTATTCACCTTTACGAGTGTTTAATTGCTTAACGCCACTGACTACCGCCTCTGTGAACCCATTCGCAACCGATCCGTAAACTTTTAAGCGCCGCTTGGCGATCGCAACTGAATAGGAAAACAAACGCCAAGTTGGCTTGTAAACAAATCGAAAGAGTCGCTCTTGCACTTGCTGCTATTAGTGAGAGCGAGTGGGAGAGACTCTGGAACGAGTGAGAGAGAGCGAAATCGAATGTGGACAGCGGTCAGCTCTCTTATCAGTTTGTGGCGATCGCGAACCACTTGTTGTGTGGATCGTAAGCATTGGTTCGCAACCCAGATAACCAGAATTAGGTTGTGCACTCGGGTAAAAGGCAGTTACGCTTGAAAGCTTTCAAATTGACAATTTGAAACCACAAATAATTGTGTAATTATAACGCACTAACAATGTGTGATGTTCCTAAATTAAAAATATTTAGCTTGCCAAAAAAAAAAAAAGAAAAAAACCATCATGCACACCGTTTCTAGAAAATTAATTACGACAAACCCTAGTTTAAAGTTTTGTAGCAAAATGGTCTTGTCGGCGCGTCACGAAATGAGCTGCACCTCCGAAAATATATTGAATAATTTGAAAGATCCTCTTAAGTACGTTTTCTTGAAGGGTTATACTTTTCAAATATGAACAAAATTTTTTTCTATTTAGTTTGTAATCCAGAATACTTCCTTATAAAATGATCAATCATTAGACTTTTATAATCTTATCATTTTAGCTTAAATGACAATGCAATAATTGCTTATATCTTCAGTTTAAGTTATTTTTCTACTAAATAATTACCTTTTTCAATTCTGTATCAATCAAAAAGGTCGAATTTCAGCCTTTATTGGTATTCAGATTATTCTTTCATGTAAAAAGAAACGGTGATGGTTTCTACTTTCCCACGTGTTGAATTTCGTGTTGGTGAGTTATGGCCCATTATGGATCAAGCTAATAAGCGGGAATCGGCTCAGAATGCAGTTCCACTGCTTGAGCTGCCCCCAAAATCAATTAGACAGCAACAGGTTGCGTGAATAAATTAGCGGCGTTTTATTACCGTAACTAAGACTAGCTTACTAACTAGCTACCGATCAGTAGCCGAAGGTGGCCCTGTTGTAGTAGCCGGCGTAGCCGTAGATCTGCTCGTTTCTTGGCCACTGGCGGCGCTTCACCCGCACCTCCGCGAACAAGTTGGCCACGGAGACGGTGGCGAAGGCGGCCACCGCCCACCCGAGCGCCGCTCCCGCCGCCACGTCCGACGGGTGGTTCTGGTGGGTGGAGATGCGCTCCCAGCACACCACCAGGGCCACCGATCCGCAGGCCAGCTGCAGCGTGGCCCTGGCCAACCTGAGCCAGGGGGCGAACAGCCTCGCCTGGGCGTAAAATACCAGGAAGCCCATGGCGTAGCAGCTTGTGGAGGCGAAGCCGCTGGGGAAGGAGTGGCGCACCACGGCGAGCAGGTCCTGCGAGGCGGCGAACTCCGTGCAGGCGAAGTCCTCCAGGAACAAGGTGGAGTTCCCCCCCGACAGCCCGGCGCAGCTCTCCTCCCCCTCCTCGCCCCACGTCGGCTGGCAGACGTCGAGGAAGTGGGGCCTCAACCTGCCAGTCGAGTGCTTGGTCAGCCGGATCGCCAGCAAGGTCAGTCCAAGGCCGAACAGGTAGACGCCGATGGCCTTGTAGCACTCGCTGATGAAGCTGGGGATGCGCACGCCCACGAAGACGAACCGCTGCCGCAGCTCCGAGGCAGTGGGCACCACGGCGGCCCGGAGCATCTCCACCACGAGCACGAAGGCCGCGGGCAGGGCCACCACCGCGATGGTCAGGTGCACCTTGGTCAGCCAGGGCTGGCGGTAGGGGTACTGCAGGCCGGGGTCGCCGCAGTGAAAGCCCCGCCGGGCGGTGGAGAGCTGCTGGGGCAGCACCACCAGGGCCGCTCCGTAGACCCCCAGCAGGATGAGGAAGTCGATGACCAGCCGCGAGAGCAGACGCGTGTTCGGATTGCCGCACATTTTCACACTGAAGATTGGGCGGGCCGAGCTGCCAGCTTCTTCGACCTGGTTCGAACCAGGCTCATTTGCATTTCCATCGGTCCAGCGGTGGAGCAATCTGCCACACAAACTTGTTTCACAAACCTTTGTTTTGCTTTTCCCCCTGATCTGCCGTCTGTCTCGCTCGCTTATCGAATGCTTAGCATATGTATATGCTAAGAATTCTGTTAATTTATGCCAATGATCAGAAAAAAGAAACCCTTTTCATTGTTAGTTTGACCTTAAAATTACCACTTTTAAATCACATTTAGATGTTCGTGGTATAATTATTACTTCTTTCAGAAATTGTTTTACTAAGTGTTTTTAATTTTTTTCTCTGACACAATATTTTTGGAAAATTATTTTTGAGGCTGTAAGCATAACTGTACTTAAAAGTGGTTTAAAATTATCAATAGTTTATTACCAACAATTGATTCTGACTTGATGATAAGATGTTCTTTTTATTTTTCTTCATATCGGAGATTTTGCCAAGTATTTGTTTACCCATTTAAATATAGAAGTTATAAGAATAAAAAGTATTTTTTGGAGTGTCACTTCTTAGCCCGGCTTAAATCAATCTCTTGATTCGACCCAGTACGGCAGGTGTTTTTTCGCGTTCTGAACTTGTTTTGTCTTTCTGGACAAAGGAAAGTAACTGTTAATATTGGCAACCTTTATGCCATGGATATCAATATAAGTTAGTCTGTATTATCTCCCAGAATATTTCTGTTGTAACACTTCTGGAATGTGGCGAATCGTAACCAAAGCCCTTCTGTTTTTTGTCTCTTTGCAGGTAAGCACAAACTCCGATGCCTCTTCGATCCGAAACTTTGATGCCTCAACTTTCGAAAACATCGAAGATTCGTCTTGGTCCGCCAATCGATAAAAAACACTTTCTACTCCACCAAGCAGACTTGGCCAATTCGCGATGAGCCAATCCCATTACCGGACTGAAACAACCTGCGTTCGTATCGTACTTGAACATTTATTTCGCTAGAATACAGACGAGAAAACAAAACAGGAATTCCGTGCCGTTCGTGGTTTGTGAATACATATGTGCATGTTTGCGGGTTCGCTAAGCTACGTTTCGCTAGGGGCTCCGCAGGGAGCTCAGGGCACGTAGCCGTAGTTGTGGTACGGCGTGGCGTACTGCGGCTGCGCCTGCGCGGGATGGGCGGCCAGATAGGGCAGGGTGCCGAAGGTGTAGGCCGGCAGGGCGGGGGGCTGGGTCGCTCCGGCGGCGGATCCGCCCGCCTGCGACTTGGTGGAGCTCTTCGGCGAGACCTGCGGCTTGCGCAGCGTGCTGGCGGAGTAGCCCGCCTTGGGCCACCGGCGACCGCCGAAGAGGTCCGCCACGTAGGCGCTGGTCAGCCAGGCGAAGGCCACGCCCAGCGCCGCCCCCGCGAGGACGTCGCTCCAGTGGTGGTAGTAGTCGGTGATGCGCGACAGGGAGACGTACCAGCCGAACATGACGAAGAGGAACTGCAGCAGGTGCTTGAGCAGCTTGGAGACGCGCGTGCTGAGGGCGGCCTGCAGGTAGATGGCCAGGTAGAGCATCGCGTAGACGGCCATGCTGGCGTGGCCGCTGGGGAAGGACTGGTTGAGCTGCTTGAACTGGAAGTCGCTCATGTTGGCGTTGCTGCACGTGAAGCTGTCGATGTACCGCCCCAGGTTCTGCCCCTCCTGGCAGCCGCTCCCGTCCGGCAGCATCGGCTGGCAGACCGCGAAGAAGTGCGGCCGCAGGCGGCCGATGCACAGCTTCGAGAGCATCGTGGCGAAGGTGACCATGGCCAGGCCGTACAGGTAGAAGATGGCCTGCCGGTACAGGTTGCCAAGTCGGTGGGACACCCGGCAGCCCTCCTTCTTCCCGCCGGGGCCTCCTGGTCCGCCGGGCAGCTGCTTGAAGAGCTCCACCACGGCGATCACGGCGGTGGGAACGGCCAGGGCGACGGCGATGAGCAGCTCCGTCCCGACGGAGCTGTCGCGGTACGGGTAGCCCAGCGACTCGTCGCCGCAGAAGAAGCCGCGCCGGAAGGGACGCACCAGCTTGTGGAGCAAGAGGCTGGCCGCGCTGAGGGCCGCCCAGATCAGGAGGTCGCAGAGCCCGCGGGCCAGCTTTGAGAACTTGGACATGGCTGGGACTTCGGAACCCGACTCTCAAATCTCGATTCTCGAATCTCGACGCTCGACGGAGACAGCGGATCGGATCGACTGGACCGACTGGCAAGCCGCGCTTAACTAACTGAGCGGAGCGGGTGAGTCGCCCAACCTGGCCGTGATTTGGGCTCTCTCTTGCTTGCGGGGCTTGTGGTCCGTCAGCCTCGACTGACTGGTGCGTGAGTCGCCCGAACAGCTGCTGTTATTGTCGCTGCGGCTTGTTGCTGGGGCAACTGCGACATGCCGTAAACATTCGCGGGTTGTTGCTTTTTATTAATTACAGGCCGGCCCGTTTTGCGTTGCGCCGACAGCACGGCGAATATTTGGCTAATTGGCAGACAAAGAGCCAACAAGTTCTAGGTGGATTGCGAAAATTCTCGCCGTGCAGCCGCCACTCATATTTCATCTATGAGTTTAATGCGCAGCGGTAAGAGCTCATATTTCATCCGCAATCGGCGAAAAAATAAACAAATCTCGGAGTGCAACACCCACCGCGGGCTCCATTGTTTGGCCGTTGAGAAACTGGTTTCACTTGCGGCCCGAAAGCCAAGAGAAAATCTGCGCAAGCCGATAAACCCCCGCCAGAAGAGGCGCAAACTGGTTTCTGCGGAGAGAGTCTTCGTTCTCGCCTTTCGCTGCAGATCGTGCGCTTTTCGGTTTTCGGGTGCGTGTGCATAATTTCCTAGTGGGCAGCCAGCGGAACCGACACAAGAAAGGCTGGAAAACCCACTGGACCCACGATGGTGGTGGTGGTGGGCACCACTGAAGTGTGCAAGTGCGGGGATTTGGGTCTGCCGCTGGCTAATTGCTCAACTTACTCGCTCATCGCGCATCGCCCATCGATTCGGTTTGAGCTGAGCGCTGGGAATTTTCACTTTTAGGGATTTCTCGGCCAGTGATTCACTCAGCGGATTCGTTTGCGGCTCAGTGGTTGGATGGTGCAGGTGGTTTCGCACTTGCTCAGCGGCGGTTCTATGACGTCGCCGGGTGAGGTGTGCATTCTTCAGGTGGCTTCTCTCCGAAGTGACGTCTGCGCCGAGCTTAAAGCTTGGGATTCTGTCCGCTGTTTATTTTTATTCGATGGCTAATTGAAACGCTCGGCAGACAGGGCTGGAGCGGGCCAAGAGCGGGTTAAGAGCGGGAGGCGATGCGGCTCGTTAGCTTGGCAAATTAACACCAGGCTTCGGCCATAATTCGCTGTTTATTAAAAGATATTTTTTACTATTTGTCTGGTAATTTAGTCGTTATGATAATACGATTCAAACGCAAACAAACACTTAAGTTTTAGGACTGTAAAACCGAAAAGCTTGTCATTTAATTTAAGCAGTTCCCATAATTCACATGCCAATATTGTTTATTGCAAACTGTCAAATATTTTGGTTCTTTGAAGGTCGTAGCATGTATTTGTCTAATTTATACATACTCTGCTCTCCCATAGATAAAAACTGTTATTCTCAGTACAGATAAAAAAGTTTATATTATATATATTTATCTCTATTGGCTTGTTATTGTGCTGTGGGTTAACTGATAGCAAATTTTGGTGTTTTAAAAGTCAAAATTGTAAACACATAAAAGATATTCAAGGTAGTAAAAAATGTTGCAGATCTTTCAAATGGAAAAAGTTCTAAAACAATACAAAAATATCTTCTTTTAAAAAATCAATCAAAAATTTGATTACTTTTTTAATATTATTATAATATAATATTATAATATTACATATATCTTTTTTCATTCCATGAATAAAGTATAGTATTGTACTCGGATAATCTGTTGGAGTTTACTCCTCCTCTGCGTCGCAAACTTTCGACTATAATTAAAATTGCCTCTGCCAGGAAATACAAATGCTGATATAGGCAGGTCAACTTTCAAATTAATTTCCTCATATAAGGAGCGGCTTGATTTGAGCAAATGAGTACTTTTGCATATCAATTACCATTTTAATTACCCAGTTTTTAAGATGTTTCAATTCGGAATGTGCGAATTGGGGAAACCCTCTGCATGTGCAGATCGATTTGAACATTTAATGGCTGCTGAAAATTGGCGTTATAAATTGCAGGAAATCGTTTGAAATTCGAATGGTTTACATGAAGTTACCTCACTCGATCGAAATCATGACAAATTACTGTGGGTTTGATTAGTATTGGGTAATCAAAAAAGGGGCTTCCTAAATGGGTTTCTGGCTCTCGATCTGTTGGGTGCATTGCACGTGCAGGGAATTAAAATCAATTCCAGTCGATCTCGGTTAAATTGCTCAATCCGCAGAACACTCAGCGTTGGGAAAGGTTCGCAGATCTTGAGGCGATTTGTTGCAAGTTGCGATTGTTCCCTCAACGAATCGATCTAGAAACGTCAGCTCTGGTTATTCACCCCTCGGTTATCGTAGACAGCTTAAAAAGCCACTGAACTATAAACTTCCTGTCCGAATCGTGCACCTGACTGTTGCTTCATGTCTAACACTTTTTCCGCCTCCCCTGGAGACTTTTCACGAGGGTCTGCGAACTGGCAATTGCTCTTGGCGCCGGCGAAGTGTCAACAGCCGCCTATTGTCGCAGCGCAAACAGATTTCCCCATGCTAATCGCGGAATGCCAATGCCAAGTGAATCTTTATCGCATCGGAACGAATAGGATCGGATCGGATCGGATCGGATCGGCAGAGGTTCCCCATATGCATACTGCGCCGCAATCTTTCCCCCGATTTGCGTGCGATTCGCTATCAGCTGGCGATCGCGATTTCACGCTCGCACCTCGCCAGCGAATTCTGGCACCTCGTTCTTATCAGCCAGGAAAAGAGAAAAAGTGCAACCGACACAGAAATAAAAACACTTGTTCTGAAGTAACTGCCTCAGCAGTTTCACTTTTTTGCTGGACAGGAAGTGCTTCTTGGGTTCGCAACACCCGACTCCAATCCGCATTTGTGCCTAGTCAGATTTTCGTGTTTACCTCGGTCTGCGACGGAGACTATTTACTCGTACCCAGAAACCGCGTGGGTTGTGCAATCGGCGTTTACCCGCTGGATCTGCGTATTTAACAAATTATGTCAATAATAAATTCTGATTTAGTGTCGCCGCAGTCGAAGGTGTCACTAAAGAGGACCCCACTGCCATATAAAACCAGAAACCTTACGATCCGCCCGTCGGCTTCTCGTGGCACTCATCATGATCACATTAATGATCATGAATACTCGTTTTTGGCGCGTGCTGCGGTCGTTCATTGATACGACTTGCAGTGCAAAGTTTGAGCGTTGGGGATTGGAAAAGGGGGCGGATCTGGTGGAGCGGTCTTTCTGCGGATCGGATCGGATTACAGTAAACCCAAGATAGCGGGCACCGTTATATGTAACAGTTAACAATCTATAATGGGGGCATCTTTTAACTTTTAACTGTGAAAATTCCTTTAATTTGTATAGTAACTAAAATTTCATTGCAGTTTCTAACTTCATACCAAAAACTAATATAGATCATAAATAAATACCATTAGAATTGTTATTTCTTCCCACTATCTCATCAAATGCTATGACGTAAGACTCTCTTTGAAGAACATAATATAAAAATAAATTAAAATATACAAAAAATGTTCCATGTCGAATTAGCTTCGAAATGGCTTCCTCTTTCAATTTGCCAAACCTAACCCAAACACCTCCAATGTGACGGTTCTGTGTGAATTTAGCCAGGAACCCTCGACTGGCCATTTGCATATCCGTGGTCTGCATGGCTATTGTCCGCCCAACTCTCGAAGTAATTTCCTTCATTGGGACTCCGAAATTAGCATAAATTAACAGCAAATAGTTGCAGGCACTGCAATTCCGATGTAAATTGAGCAGTTGAAATTGCCATAAAGAAGCCCGATTCGGAGTGCAAATACAAAGTGGCCATAAACTGGCTGCAGTTTATGCACTGGGGCTCCAGCCTCCACTGCAGTTTCAGCTCTCGGAGTCCGGCGACTGTTTGCCCTGGTCCCCATGGCCGCAGAACCCACTCCGCCCAGGTCCGCTTACTCACTGTGGGTCCGAGCAACGACCTACATCAACACAAATCCCACAAAGGCACGCAGCGTCTCAAGTCACGTCGAGGTGACCTACTCCTCTGGCCACCGCTGGCAGCCCAAGGAGCCTCTCCACTGCGCCACCTCACCACCTCCGTCCTCGCATGGCATCGCATCCATCTGCTGGATGCAACTCTTTCATTATGCGCAATGCCAAGTCGCAGGCAAACAAACCTAAGCAAACTGAGCAGAGCAAACCTTGAAACAATTCAATAGTTTCCTCATTAGCAACATTCGTGCCAAAGCCAACAGGCGGCAAGAGAAGTCGGCCTGAGCGGGAGTACACTGAGCCATTAAACCTAGGAATTAGTTTTCTGTATAAGCAATAAACCCAGAAAATCGTTCAGGTCTGATAACCTAACTAACCTTTTTATTGAAGAAGGAACTAAAGTTAATTACCAATAAAGTATAAAAAATAAAAGATTAAAAACAATGAATCAAAAAACATATTTTTTGTGAAATAAAAATAATTTATGTTTTAATATTAAAATATTATTTTGTGAAAACAAAGGCTTGCATAGTATTTTGTTTTAGAATATTAACAATCACTTTTTGTAGATATTCCAGTTCTGCGTAATTCTTATCTGTAGCTACTTGTTGGCTGTTCATAATTTCCTCTAGAAGCAAAATGGAACCTTTCTTTCTGAGTGTACGAGCGAACAGAGAGTAGCGCGGTCGTGATAAGGAGCCAAGTACAAGTACCATTGAAACCCAATATCAATGCGAATCGAGACAGCGAACCACTGGGAACCTTCGACGGTGGGCCGTCTCTCGGATTCAGTTTGTTTGGGTTCGCGATCGAAGACCGTAGGCCGCAGACCGTAGACCGTAGACACTCCAGCGGGCCAGAAACCGAGGGCCATTCGCAACCTAAGTCGTATTAGCAGTTGCAGCTGCAGTCGCAGTTGCAGTCGCAGTCGCAGTTGCCGTCGCAGTCGCAGTCGCAGTGCAGTCACCGCCAGCGAGCTAGTCACATTCGCCGACGATCGGATCCAAACAAAGCGTCAGAGCGGCCCAGAGCCCCACAGACATCGAAACGGAGTGCGGAAAAGCGGTTCGCTGGTTCGCTGGGCCGCTGCCATTGGTTCACGGGCTGACGGCCAACTGAGTGACGGCTGTTGGCCAAAGCTCGCCAATTTTCCGCGAGGAAAATCGCCTTTGAACCCGCGATACTTTCGAGAGCCGAGCTCACCAATTCGCGGTAATAGCGCTCGCCGGCGAGTAAGTGCGCAGTTTGTGTGACAGCCGAAAAGTGGCTGGAGTGAATGAACGGAACGACTGGCCACAGACGTTGGGCGTGAAATCAGAAACAAATGTGCTGTCGCCAAAGCCAGTGCCAAGAGTGCCAAGAGTCGGGCGATTGGCCCGAACCCACGCGATAAGAACGCTGTTGAAATACGAGACCGAGTCGCAATCGAACAGGGATCGAATAGGAAATTAGAAAGGCCTCTCAGAACATGCACACCTTCAAGAGGGGCTTCTTCTGCGCGGACCTGAGCATCCGGTACCCCTACAGGGAGTGCACCATCACGGTGCCGATGCTCCTGGTGATGATGCTCCTGCTGCCGATGCTCTTCGTCGCCGTGGTGGAGATCATGCGCATCTGCAAGCGCTTCCGCACGCGGCTCTACCTGCGCAACCTGTGGCGCGCGGAGGCCACCTTCAGCTTCGGCTTCATCGCCACCTACCTGACCACGGAGCTGGCCAAGCACGCGGTGGGTCGCCTGCGGCCGCACTTCTTCCACGGCTGCCAGCCGCGCCTCGACGACGGCAGCAGCTGCGCGGACCCCCAGAACGCCGAGCTGTACGTGGAGCAGTTCCACTGCACCAACCACGACCTCTCCCCCGCCAGATCCGCGAGCTGCACGTCAGCTTCCCGAGCGGCCACAGCAGCCTCAGCTTCTACTCGATGCTCCTCCTCGCCCTCTACGTCCACGGGGTGTGGCGCGGGCGGGGCGGGGTGCAGGTGCTGCGGCACGTCCTCCAGCTGCTGCTCCTCATGGCCGCGCTCTGCGTCTCGCTGAGCCGCGTCGCCGACTACTGGCACCACTGGACCGACGTCCTGGCCGGCGCCCTCCTGGGAGCCACCTACGCCGCCCTCACCGCCGCCTACGTGGGCGACCTCCTGCGCCGCCGGCCACGCCCCCCCGGCAGCCTTCCGCCCCCGCTGAGCTACAGCCACCACCTGCACCACCACCACCAGCTGATGGCCGACAACAACAACTCGGCGGCCTCCGCTAAGGTCCACTTCCTGGCGGCGGCGGCCTCCGCCTCGATGACCACCTCCACTCCGCTGGACGACATTCAGGACTCGGAGGAGGAGGAGGACTCCCGGGACTCAAGGGACTCCAGGGACTCCAGGGACTCGGAAGACTCGCAGGACTCCCAGGAGGAGGACGAGGACTACAAGCCACCAGCTGAGCGACCCCCCTCCCCGCCCCGCGATCTGACCCACGTCGTCTAAGACACCAGGCTGGAAAAAGTGGCGCGCGAGGGAATAATCTGGCTTATCGGCCTGCCGGCTGCTATTTCGACTATTTTTCCGTTTAGAAACCGAAGCAAATAGTAATATGTGATAAGCGCGCGGCGCACTCTCTACCTGATATGCCACTGGCCACCTCCACACCTCCTCCAGACCTCCTCCTCCTCCTCCTGCCTTATAAGCGATCGGTTGTGCAACTCCGGCGGCGATCCGGGAAATCGATTCGGCCTTCGAGTGCCTGAATTCGAGTCGCAAGAATTCGGTGGCGCGTTTCGCCAAAACTATCTGCCGCCGCGATAGTGCAAGAGCCGGATCGAGCCGCTATATCTGGACGGTGGACGGTGGATGGTGGTCGGTGGCTACTGCCTGCATCCCCCGCATTCCCGCGCCGCAGAAGCTGCGACTCGTTTGTTTGTAAACAATGCCGCAGTCACGTCGCAGTCGCCGTCGCCGCGTTTGAAGTGGGCAGCCCGCCAACGTGGATCGGCGACGGCAATCAGCTGCGACAATCTCCGGCAGCGACGCCGACTGCAGCGCCTTCTGGCCGATAAGGCATTATAAATAATGCCGGGCTCACAGCTCGCAGCTCGCAGATCGGAGCTTCGGAAACTCGCACGAGGATGGATGCGAGGCGCGAGATTTATGAACAAATCAATTAAGTCGAGTCCAGTTTTATTATTTGTTTTATGTTAATTATGTTTGGCTCTCGACAGATTTTAAGGCCTAATCTAAGTGTTTGCTGCACAGGCTGAATAAATATTTATTGCCCAAGTGATTTGTGGGGTGGAGTTTTTGGGTTCGGCTCCCGGCATTCCGATACGGTTGGGTTTCCAGCGACGACCGCGATTCCAGGAAGCCCTTTGTCGAGGCAGAGGCTCTTGTGGCAACTTCTGGCCGGATTGTCCGCAAACAAAGGCCCGATAAGAACGCCGCCTATCAGATAGATAGATAAATAAATATGTAATTGTGGTCATAATACCACTCTGGAATGTGTTCGAGGAAAGCGAAAATGGTTATTCTTGGCCGACTAATTGTGTGTTTCTCAAGCGTGTCGCGTATCTAATCGCAGCTATTTCATAAGTTCTTCCCCGCATTCCGGCCAGAATAGTCACACCCAAGATTCGCATAGCCTGAATTTGGGAAGAGTCCGGGGCCAGTTGGCGCCACCCGGCAGGTGCTCCTCCTTATCGGCTGGGATTAGAGGGGTGGAAGGGTTCTCCGGAGCAGATAGCATCAGCAGGCCATCAATCATGCCCCTCCCCAAGCGACACTCCTTGATTGCCGATTCAATTTAAGGCCTTCCCCTGCAACCTTATTGATTTGCCATGTTCAATTAAACCGAATTTCGTCTATTTATAATACGCTATTTTTGCGCTCAATGCGCCGCTCAGACCGCGCGGCTTCCGTCCGGTGACCTCCACAAATCCACTCCGCAGCGACACCTCCCCAGCGGTCCAATCAAGCGGCTTCCTCATTTATATTGATTTTCAATTTCGGTCCCCGCCCCGCGCGTATTGATATGCAAACTGGCGCGCGATTGATGTCTTAAATTTGAGGCGCAATTGAGACCCATTACCCAGTCACCTAGATATGGATGGAGGAGCTCTTGGCTGCAGATGTAAATACGGAGCACTTTGCTCATCTGTCTTGCGCCGCTTTGAACCACCTCGCATCGATTCCACAATGGGGAAAGGAGAAAGGGAATCGCTGCTGCGGCTGCGGCTGCGGCAGATAAACCAGACCGCAACTACAAAGGAAAGCCATAGGAACCAAACGCAAAACTAAAGCCGAGCAATTTATTTTTAAGCACACGTATCGGAGGCATACCTCCCAGCCAGCCCAACTAAGCCCAAAGAAGCCAATCTGGAGTGAACGGGGAAGAAATCACTTGGCTAATACAAAACAATTGTGTGCAATCTTGCAGATACACTTCGACGGCAGTGGAGCCTCGGAGGAGCGACGCCGAGGAATGCAGGGCACGCCGAGCCAGCTGCGTCTTACTATTTCCAATTACAATATCGATATTTTTTGGCTTTTTACCTTTTACCCAGCACGATATTTATAAATGCCAAAGATGCCGCGACAGGCACAGTGGTAACCAAATTAAATTAAATGGGACTTTTGAATATTTCGGAAAAATTAATTCTACACTTATAAATGTTTTTAAAGCTATTTATTATTATTATTATTTATTCACATTTTATTTTTTCGATCGAACTTAAATATTTGAAATTACTCAACTAAAATTTCGTCTTCAAGGCATTAATATTCGTTTCGAGCTCTGGAATTTTAAATTACCTACATATAGGGTTTCTGAGTTATGGTTATTTCGATGAAAATGTAATTAATCATTTTAGACAAAACCAGATTTTAAAGAAATTCTAGTTTTACACTTTATTTGAGTTCTATTCTATTACTTTAAACATTTGATTCGGAAAGGATATTAAAATAATGTGAAAGATTTTTCCCAAAAAAACAAGAGTTTTGGTAACAAGAGTTTGTCCCAAAATGTAATCGGAATTTTCCGGGCTGGTTCCACCGTTCGAGCAGACTCCCTCGCATAGTTTGTCTCCGCTTCTCTATTGACATTTCCTCAAAACTTTTCTCATCAATTCACGTCGAGTGTGTGTGTTGGTACTTGTAAATACGACAACGTTTATTGTCATTGGAATTATTACTGCCATATGCGAGTGGCAGGCAATCCCTCTGCGGGTCCCGGGAAGTCGAAGGTAGGAGTCACAATGGTTGCCAGGGGAAACCGGTTCCCCGCCCCGGCATTTCCCCTCCCTCAGCCCGCTGGGCGGTAGAAAGTGGGTGGTGGGAGGTGGTGGGCGGAGCGGGGCTTATCTTGCGTATTTTTTTGGCGTATGCGAAAATTTAACGAATCATGAAATACGATAATTGAACCATGCACAAGAGTTCGTCGTTGCCGTCGTCGCTTCACTCGGTGGCATCTTCCATCGAGCCCAGCTCCATCTCCATCTCCATCTTCATCGTCATCTCCGTCTTCTTTTTCGGCTGCGTCTCCGCTTTTCCATTGTTTGCTTGTGTGCGCTCGGCGAATGTGTGTGGCATAATAAAATTTTATTGTAGCCAAAACTTGGCTACCACTTTTTCCATGGCACCGAGCAGTAGTTTTTCTCCCCTTCCCTTCTCTTCCCCTCGCCGTAATTGTTTGTCCCCACCCGCGGGGAAAGTGGGTGGGAGCGGGAGAGGGAGAGCGAGTGGAAGGGGGAGGGGGAGGTTGCCTAAACGCCCACATAGTTGGAAATTAGCGAGGTGTGTGGGCGGACCTTTCTGCCGCACGCGCAACAATGTCGCACCGTCATCATGGCGGTTCTTTGATTTCTCTCCCCGCCAGTTACTTTCCTCTGCCAATTTTATGGCATACTTTCGGGCCGTGGATCGGAGTCGAACCTTTTGGGATCTGCGGAGTATATATATAACCCCCTCAAACAACTTTCCCACCCGCATAGCTCGCACCATTCATTGTATTCCACGCACATCGAAGTGGACTTTATTTCTTACAGAACCTTACAGAACTAAGTGAGTGGCTTTAAGACCACTGCCACATACTTTAAGGCGCCAGTAGGGAATACCCTAACTGCTATCCGGTCCCGCCCGATTCTAGGCAACTCCTCGGGCTGCTCCTCAGCGGATCCGGTTGCGGCTGCCCTGGATGCTCTTCAGCTGCTTCTCCACCTCGCGCAGGTACTTCTCCGGCAGGCAGTTCTCGCGCATGGCGGCGATCTTGGCGCTGATCACCGCCTGGATGTTGGCGTCTCGCTGCTTCTCCTGGTCGAGCCACTTGCGCACCCTGGCCGCCTCCTGCTCGGCCAGGCGCCGCCGCTCCGCCTGCTTGTCGCTCATCTGCTGGCGCAGGTCCTGGCGGTACGCCTGCCGCTGGGCGTCCCGCTGCCGGTCGACGGCCTTCTCGCGCTCCTCCTCCTCGCGCATCCGCTCCATCACCTTGGCGAACTCCTCGCCGGCGTGGGCGATCTCCAGGGCCAGCCGATGCTTCATCTCCTGCGCCTGCTGCGCCCGCGCCTCCAGCAGGTCCCGCTCCGCCTCCCGGCGCGCGATGGCCGCCTCCTTCTCCCGCTGGCGGTACTCGCGCTCCACGCGGTCCCGCTCCTTGAGGTACTTCAGCTCCTCGTTGGTCTGGCGCGTCTCCATGGCCTCGGCCGCCACCGTGAAGATGCGCTGCTGGCGGCGCTCGAACTCCTTCTTCGCCAGCCGCTGCATCTCCTTCAGCTGGCGCTCCTTCTCCTGCTTCTCGCGCATGTAGGCGGTCACCCGCAGCTCCGCCAGCCGCTCCTGCTCGCTGAGCATCGTCTTGAACACGTTCGACATCTCCCGGATGCGCTGCAGCTCCTCGCGGAAGCGCTGCTTCCTCAGCTGCGCGAAGGCCCGCTGCTGCTCCTCCTGGCCGCGCAGCAGCTCGGTGGCCCGCCGGATGTCCTTGGCCTCGTCGGCCACCCGCTTGGCCTCCAGGAAGCGGACGTTCTCGCGATCCGACAGCTGCTGGCGGATCTCCTGGGCGTAGCGGTTCCGCTTCTCCACCTCCAGTCGCTCGCGCTCGTCCTCGGCGGTCAGCGCCTTCTGGGCCCGCTCGTTCACCATCCGCGCCAGCCGCTCGTCGTCCTCGCGCAGCGCCTTGCTCAGGAGGTGCTTCTCCTGGATCTGCGCCTCCCGCACCGCCTTGCACTTGGCGTCGAGGATCATGCGGTTGATCTGCTTCACCTCCTGCTCCTGCTCCTGGCGCGCCAGGAAGGCGCGGCTCAGCACCGACTGCCGCTCCTCCAGAATCTCGCTGAGCATGTTGCTCCTGACCTCCGAAGCTCCCGTTCCCCGGGCTTCGTCGATGGCCCTGAACCGCCGCCGCGTCTCCTCGACCGCCTGCAGCTGCCTGCGGTGCTCCTCCTCCTGCTGCTCGATCCTCTCCAGCTTTTCGCCCACTGTCTCCAGCTTCCCCTTATCCTTGAGGCGCCGCAGCTCTCCCGCTCGCAGCACCACCTGCTTGGTGCCCTGGTTGCGCTTCCGCTCCCGCTCGTTGCGCTTCAGCTGCTTCTGGTCGTAGGCCGCCGACTGGTCGCACGGGTTCCTCCTGAAGCAGCCGAAGGAGGTGGTGGAGGGGCGGAAGCCGCCGGCAGGAGGACGGTAGGCTGCGGTTTGAGCCCGCGCCCTGGCCCTCAGCTCCTGGCATTTCTGCTGCAGCTGCGACTCCGCGCTGACGAACCGCACATTGGAGGCGGAGTAGCAGGGCATCCTTCTTGAAGTAAGCGAGGTAACGAGGTGTGCCAGAGGACTATCTCCTTGACGGGGATCTAAGCTGCAATGAGCAGGGCGCCTGGGAAAGCGAACTCGACTCGCGTTGCTGGGAGAACTTGTTTGGGTAACAAGCGGTGGTTGCCTTGGCTCCCCATCGAGTAGCCATGCCACCCGGCCAAAGTGCGAAGCTATTCGGAAAACACTCCGGGTTCCCACGGAGGACGGAGGACAGTGGGCGTGCCGGGATAGAGATAGCGGGAGCGGGCTTCCGACGGCTTTGAATTGAAATACGCTTCCCGGAAGCTTTTCCCTTGATTTGTTCTGACTGCCGCTCTTATCTTCCCTGTCCACTGGGCGAGCATTTAAACGGTCCCCAGTCCCCAGTCCCCAGTCCTCGGTCCCCGACCCTCGGAGCCGAGCATCAAAAATGCAACCAAGCATAAATTTCGGGGCTCTGCGGCGGCCCCCAATGATTTATGCGCCTTGTCCAAGGACAAACACACCCTGCCCCACCCAAATCGGTCCCTTTCCTTTCCTTTCCTCCCCCCTACCAACCATTCCAGTTCAGTTCAGCTCAGCTTGGTCCAGTCCAGTCCAATGATGTGTGCGAATGTGTGAAAGAAGTCAGCAATTATGCGGCATAGAAAAGCAATAAGCCAACAAAATTCACACATTGTGGACGGGTCCAGAACTGGACACTTGAGATATCGGGCGGGGAGCGGGCCTGGCCCACATCCGACTGCGACTGTTCGAATGTCCATGGCGTCAGCATCCATCCATCCATCCAACCAACCTTCCAACCATCCGACCATCCGACCATTCCTTTCCACCGCCCACTGGCCAGCGAGGCGTGTTGCAAGTCTAAGCTGGCAAAAGTTTACGGCCACACATACAAATTAACTTGACCAGAGCAACAGACAGAACCGAGATCCGAGAGCCACGCCCACTTTGTCAAACACACACGGTGGGGGGGCGGAGGGAGGGGGTAAGTTTGGGGCATGGAGCATGGAAATCCGAAACCGAAACGAGCTCCGGCCATTCAGCTGACTTTAATAAAAAGTTTTCCTTTTTCCCTGTTGCACACACAAAAACTTTCTCCACACGGACACGGAGTGCCTTCGCATTGGCACTCGCATTCGCATTTCCCTTGGCCTTCGGCCGCCCTTCTAGTTGGACGCATTGAGGCGTTAAAGTCAACTTAAGCTGGCCGGCTCAGATTCCCCCGCCGGGAAAATGCGTTCCCAGTCCGCCCAGTCCGGACAGTCCGCAAATGTAAATTGACATTTTCGAGTGCACGATTGAGCAAATGAACGTTTTTTTCCTCCTCCGCCGAGTTCGCTCTCTCTGCTGCTCGGACGTCCTGTGTCTCGAGTCCTGCGTTCAGTATCCCGGGGTAATGGCAGTCAAGTTGTTGGATTAGCACCGTGAGCCTCCCAAGAACACGGATCGAAGAGCGCCCAACAGCCGAGGTTGGGAAAGACATGCATGGGCTGCTTGATGATATGCAAAGCATTATTAGCCGGTTGGAGGAGGCGGAGGTGGATGAGGATGAGGAGGAAGATGAGGAGGCTGCCGGAGGACATCATTAGCATTCCTGAGTCCGAGCTCAGGCCATAATTTATGCGCTTAAGTTGTGTTCCGGTTAAGTTTAGTCCGCCCGTCCCAGCACGCCTTCTTCGTTAATTAAACCCGATGTAAGTCGGCTTGAGGTTGGGGATTAGTCAAGGGCCACGCATAGATTAGGTATCCGAGTGTCCTGGCCAGGACTCCAGCGTCTTTTTATCTCCGGCCTCGCAGGTGAGTCCCGGCATGCGGTCCCCGAACGGAGCTTATAATCGAGGGAGGGTGAGCGGCCAAGCTCTCTTTGATCGCACCCAAACTGCAGGAAAGACAAATGTTTCTACTTAGGAAAATCTGCCAAAATCATCTCGCTCCGGACGGAGACGGAAACTGAAATTGACAGCGCTCAGACTCGAGCACAAAACTTTCTCCGCCTCAGTGTGCATTTTCCAGCGTCATGTCGGCGCAGACATTTCGGGGGGACGAAGGGACGGAGAGGGAGGAGCAGGAGGAGCAGGAGCAGGACTGGAGCAGGACCCAAAGGGCCCATTACAAAGGCTTGAGGCCTTCAAATGCCTTTTGGCATATGATTCATTTGTGGTCCGCCGGGGAAACTTTTACGGCAGACACACACACACCGCTCACACACATACTCACACAGTTGACTTATTTGCATAATTTACGGAGGAACGAGGAGCCACAGCCATCACTTCCCCTTCGATTCCCTGTGATGTCAGTAGTCTAGTTTATAGAAATGTTGCCCTGACAGACATTCGATTTCCGGTTGCATTTTCATAAACATGCTCGGGAGAGATTTTTTCGAACTTTGCATGAAATATTGATCGGCTGCCAGCTTTCAAGTTCGCCACCTTTCCTCTTGCCCTTTCCTGCTCCGCCTGAAAGCCCGGAGCCATTCCTTACAGTTTCCTGTCATCGTCTGAAACTGAAACTGGGCAGGACAAACAACCTCACATTTGTATCCCATGGCCAAGCTCCCCCCTGCGCTCTGGATTTTTATTTATATGACAACATATTTCGTAGCCGCACCGTTAAACTTATGTTTTGGTCAATTTTTTACTGCAAATCCCGGCCATTTGCATCTTTTCGCACATTTCATTGCAAATTAATTCGGGCCGCAATGTATTTTATGAGCAACCTTTTTGCCGCTCGCAGTTGATTCATGTGTGGCATATTTCTGTGGCAGAACTCGAGCTAACCCAAATCCCCTGATTGATTGAGCCACATGACACACAGAACTCTGCGCTGGATGGGCTTACTATATTTGCTTGAGCGCTCGCCCCACAATCGGATCAGATCGAAAGTCCCTGAATTGAGCCAATTATTCTGCCCCTTGTGTCAAAGCAGCCGAGGAGGAGACGACTAATTAAAATGCCCGAGCTCGAGTACCGCTCGAGAAGAAATATGATTTGACTTGATTCGAGCGGCTCCCGCTTTATTTACTATCAATCAAGCACTCTGACCCAGATCCGAATATTCCGGCATGGAAATCTATCGAGAATTGCGTGGGAGGCAATCCACTGGAGATGAGTTCAATTTCCCATGATGGATGGAGACCCGGCTGCATGCGAAGTGGCAGCTTAAACTCCCCACCCAGCCCCATAATTCACCGGGGATTGCCCTTTAGCAATTGCAGCAGCTCGCCACACGAAAATTCATTGGAATAAAATTTTAATCATTCGCAAGCCGAACTGGTTCCCTCTGGTGCCCTCTCCGTTGAAGATTCGCTCCTCGCTCGGGCGGCGCAAAAAATATAATTTATATAAGGCCCAGCACACAAACAAGCGTCATTAAGCATATTTGGCCAGTCCAGCTGGGTTGAGGGTTGTGGAGGGGTTGGCCCAAAAGCAGGGCCTCTGACATTGCGCCGCATGTAGAAATGAAATTTATGAAGACTGCAGGGAAGAATTACGGGGCACGGATCCGCGATGCCAGATGTCCCTTCGCCTTATTTATGGCGGCGATGATAAGATGTCAGGTTCTCCGGGATCGCCGTGAGTCACTTGGTCCACATCCACCTCATCGATGCGCAATTTGTCGTTAATTTCTGCGGTTCGCAGTAGACCTGCTAGCTTTCCCCGCGGCCAATGGATAATTGCCTCGATTTGAATTCACTGCCGTGGCTGTCAGATGAATCAACTGCGGGTTCGCGGAATTCAATTGAATCGATTTGGATTCATATGCATGCGGCGTAGGCCGGGGGACTGAAGCCACATGCGTACGTGCGCCGCTCCGGAGAAGTCCGGAGATCTCCGCAATATATGGTATCTGGTGTGTATATGCCCTGTCAGATTCCCAACTTGACGTTGGCGCCGCCCATGGCCCAAGTTCCCAACGTCGTCGCGATTACGTGATGTTTTAATCAATTCTCGCTTGCCGCATTTGCAAATCGACGGGGAAAGGGCAGCAAAACGGAACGCCTTCATGTAAACAAACGCAGGGCTGCAAGTGCAAAAATTATGGCAGAGCCGCGGTCGAAAATGTTTATGCAAATTCTCAAATGTTTTAATTGATTAACGAGCAGCGAAGTGTGCCGCGGAACCTTCTTCCCTTCCCGAAGTATTTTTACTGTTGTCATTGCATATTCAACACGAACACAAGAATTCTCTGGTTATTAATTTGCCCCAAAAAGATAATGATTTGCAAAGCGATGATGGGGGCTGGAAAATAGCTTTATTATTGTCAGCAAAAATATTTTTGTAATACTCAAAGAGTGAAGGTCTTTCGACTTTTAAGCCAGGTCAAGAGTTAAGTGAGTCTCCGAACGCATACAACTAAAAGGCATTCAAGATCCATTGCAAGTACGTGTTTATTTTCTCTTTTCTGATTCGAAAAAGAAAATTGGGCTAAATCGAGATTACGGGAAGGCTCTTCCCCTCGAAACCTAATTACCTATAGAGCTAAAGCGAGATCCCTTTGGCCGCAGCTGTCGCTCGCCTGAAGCCCCACTGTGGTCACTCCACTTCAGTGCCCGGCGCCCATTAAAACCAAAACTCAAACTTGACCGCCGGAGCCGACAACGTCAAGTGCTTTGCAGACAACACACATTCGGAGGAGGGGAGAGAGGAAGGGGGAGGAAAAGGAGCCCCAAGTTGAAAAACCAATAAACAAAAACCGAAGGGGGAGGCGGAGCGGGAGGGCAGGGAAACGCACTCCGAGGACCTGGGCCGTTGGGAAATAAATTACATACAAAATAACTGCAGTACATGTAAATAAAAGGGGCAGCCGGGGGCCACCGCAGGCAGCGCTCCCCGGAGTCCTGGTCGGCAGTCCTGGCCGGCAGTTCTGGCCGGCAGTCTTGGGTGCTCCACTGCCTGGCTGCTCCCTGGACTGCTTTCCCGGTCGTGTCTGACCGACGTCAGCGTCTCATCAACCGGCAGCCGAGCAAAAAGTCAGCTCGGAAGCAGTCAGCAGACGGC